GACATTCCCATCTTCCCCTCTTCTTCGTCTAACCCCCATCTCCTTCGTCTGTGTATGGTTGGGGCTGGCGCAGTCTTCCTATGTGAAGCGCCAGACCCCTTCACACCATGGAATGATGATGATGATGTATGTTTGGGGCTGCATTGCAATATTGATTGTTCGGATCATTGGTATCTAAGTCTTCCGCTGTGCTATCTTATACTTTGTATTGAGAGGTCGGTTCTTGTTCTGGTCTGCACCGTTACAGTATGCAACAGCTGCAGACCTCCTCGCACAAGACGGTGAGGCAGCGCTTCCGCATGGCTTCCGCAGGAATGAATGAATGGCTGTGCGCGGCTTCTTGATTTATACTTCTGTGCCTCGTTGGTCTGCCCTGTTTCCCTGGCCCACAGTGTGCACAGTCCCAGACGGTACTTGCTTGACTGGACCGGACTGACTGGACTGGGACTGCTGACTCTGCATGGTGGACTTCCACCACTTGCCCACTTGCCTGGACCTACAGTGGACTGACTTCCGAAAGGCCACTTCTAGAAACCTCTACTTGGCCTTTCGGTACTGTAGCAGCTACGACTCTGTTCTTTCAGGTAAGTAGCAGCTACGACTCTGACCCTTCGGAAAGTCTACAGCTACGACCTCTGGACTGTCTAGACTCCTACCCGACAGGTCTACAGTTTGAATCCCCTGTACCCTGTAACCTACGACGTCCTACCTACCACTGGCGATCCTACAGGTCGCAGGTTCAACTCCACGGGTTGACACAGGTACTGTACACAGGTAAGGTGGGGATCTAGGGATCGAGCCCTGGGCTCTGCATCAGCTACTGCGAACTGGTGAATACCGTTTCACACTGAAAAAAGTTCATTAATTACGAGTTGGTTGTACTTTTTTTTTTTTCTTTTTGAAATGTGCAGCGCGTGATGGCAAGTCTTCCGAGCAAAACACTGAAAGAGCTTAATTACATTTACTATGTGATTTAGCGATTGGTTGTACTTTCTTCTTTTTTTCTTCCAGCCAAAGTATGGTACACAGTACAACCAACCGAAAAAAAAAAATAAAAAAAAAATAAAAAAAATTCAGCAGTCTCACTCTTTGAGCCTTCAAAATCATACTTGCGTGTGGAATTCCGTGTGGAGTTTCGTGCGGGGGGTGCCTGTGCAGAATTGTGCAGGTTTTTTATTTTTATTATTATTATTTTATTTTTTTGGGAGCGGGGACGGGGGCGCATGACAGGAAGATGGTGATGTGGCGAGGAGAGGGGGATATGGAGAGGAGGAGGAGGATGTGGACGACAAAGACGACGGGGATAATGAGGACGATGATGAGGAGAAGCAGAGATGAGGGAGGAGAAGAAGAGGGAAAAGAGGAAGGGCAGGAGGAAGGGGAGGACAGGAGGAAGGGGAGGACACGAGGAAGGGGAGGAGACGAGGGCATGGGAGATGATGAAGTACGAGGAGGAGGAGACGAGGATGAGGAAGGGCAGGAGGAGGATGAAAAGGAGGGAGAGGACGAGTCGGAGGAGACGAAAAGGAGGAAGGGGAGGAGAGAGGTGAGGCAGCACTCCTACAATTTTTTTTCGTCCCACTTATAATTTTGGTGGGGGGCCTCAAACACACAGTTTCGACCCCCGACCTTCTTTTTTTTTCTCAGAGGGGGGTGATGGGTCGTTCCCCGCACACGTCGTGCGCCGCACAGGGTCGGTTGGGCGCGTGCGCTGCATGTCGGGAACCGCCCCCACGAGGTGCGCTTGCAAGAATGTTCGAAATTGTAAAGCATTGCAAGACATGAACTAGCACTTGACAAAGTTTACAGGCAAGATACCTGTATTACTGCTAATTAATATTCCACGGCCACATGAGCAGCACTTAATTACCATGAAGACCAACTTGTGCTTGACGACTCAGTCCTCACTCATGCACCTGAAACAACTATCCCGTGAATAAAACAACAAACAAGGCTCGAGGAGCAGACGCTTCGCGTCTGCACCCCGTGCATTGGAACCGAACGAGTTCTGAGGACACAAATCTCCTCAAGGGCCTTCAACCACCAGGTGTGATGGCCTTGTTGAAACAAAATACCTGGGAAAGGTACTGCTGGTTCAATGAGTCAGCCCTTGCGCATGCACCGGACAGGGTCTTCCAGATACCGGCTCAAGGGCCTTCAATCCATCTCGGAGCGCTTGCAATGCTCTCGGCTTCTTGGGTACGCATTGGTTCTCACAGCAATTTCAATGCTCTCGGCTTCTTGGGTTCACACTGAACCAGTGGTTCAAAGTAGGGTCTGCACACTGAACCAGTGGTTCAAAGTAGGGTCTGCACACTGAACCAGTGGTTCAAAGTAGGGTCTACACAGTGAACCACTGGTTCAAAGTAGGTCTGCACACTGAACCACTGGTTCAAAGTAGGTCTCTGCCAGCTATAATGAAGACCATAGATCGTAAATACACTCCATGTCCAGCATATACCTGCATGAAGCAGATATGCCGGTCGAGACTTACTTTACGACAAGTTTTTTGCCATTTAAGGGGCAAACGCCATTTGCTGGACTCTGAAATGAGTAATTAACCGTAACAACACGCTTCAATGATGCCCTGATTGAAAACCACACCGAGTCGTGCATCACAATCTACACTGGTATGGCAGCAAGCCTACCTACCGTCTTCACCTGAATAGAATCATTAGAATGCCCAGCTTCCCCACCCCTGCCTCCCCTGTGATGCCATTTGGGCTACCATCCATCCCAATAGAACACACGGTCGTTATAGATTCAGCGATAATGGCTGTGCTTCCCATTTGTGGGAAGACGGTGATTGCGACTCTTCCCCACCTCTGCCCCCCCCCCTGTGATGCCATTTG